TCATATGATTCAATCATCATTATCGGGTCATTAGTCTTTACTATAGGAAGACCACTCTCCATTTTCAACCGACTTCAAAAAAGGAGGAGGTTCTCAATTCGACCCGTATGTTTTTTTTATTTTTATATGTTTGTTACGCGATAACTCCGCCAATTATGAACCGATTTGAACAAATCTTTTTTCGGCGTATAGGTAATACCTCAAGATGGTCCCATTTAAATTTAATAATAGAAAAAACAACCCCGAAGGGTGGAAAATTGGGGATGAACTTTTTTATACGCAATATCTCCGCCGATTTATAAATCATTTTGAACGATTATTTTTTTGTTGAATAGGTATTATCAAAAGGGTGGTTTCATGCGAATTTGAAGAAAATATTTCACCCCCAAGGGTAGAACTTTTTTTTAATTTTTAGTATTATTTTGTGTTCACGCATTTGAAGTCGGTTTTTTTTTAAAGTTAATTATATGAGAGGCAAATTAATGGAGGATTTAGCCTACAATTCCTGCGCTGGCCAGACGGGTTGGGGACGCCTGACATTCGTATATCTCTCGTGTAGTCGTCTATTACGACATCGGGGTGGTTTTTACCCGTGATTTCATAGATCTCTACTCAATTTTAGTACCTACGTCATATTCAGATTATACCTTTACTAGCGGCCGCCCGCGACTTCGTACGCGTGGACCTCGTTTTACCCCCGTTAGATACCATGTTGATAGATGGCGTTTCACGGCATGAATATTTATAAGAATAGCAAAAACAGTAGTTTGCCCAGCGCTGTAGATTTTAACCAATGACGATAGACGGCGCTTTTTAGACGTATCGTCATAAATTATAGCCTATTATGTTAATCTGGGTTATAAACAATGATACTGTAAAGTTTCAACAAAATCTGTTCAGTAGTTTTTGCGTGAAAGAGTAACAAACTTCCAGACTTCGCCTTTATAATATTAGTAGGATTATATTTATTTGCAATATCTAGATTCTAGATCCTAAAATACCTACACCTGAAAATGGTTTACGCAGTAGCACCTTCCAAATGTCACAGTGCAGCGTCCGTGAGCACGTGACCGGCGCCCGCGCACGCCATTAGCCAAAATGATCCCGTTCCGATCGTTACCTACATTCAACTTACGTTCTTTTGGACCAAGGACAATTTCCGTGGTCATTTGTACTAATGAATTCTGAAATGACTGTGAATGCATGCGTAAAATAAACAAAATGTTTATTGATAAAGATTGGATTGGGTTTTTGATAAAATAATTATGCCTTACACACTTAGAGAGACAGACGATCATAGGGTAAACATATCAATTACCTTCCTACCTATCACATTCCTACCGATAAGGAAGTATTTACATAAAACATCTTTAACGTATAACTATACATTTGTGCCACTTTTGAATTGAACCATTCAAGTTTCGTTATTTTGAAAAATACCTAATACTAAAGCCCAATACAGTCGTTTTCATTGTAAGGAACATCGAACCCCTGTGATCCGTGTTCTTCAACTTTCAAGTTGCCTTATCTACGAGTAAGTACACGTAAATAACAAAAATAAATTCGGTTGCACCATCCCAAGCACCGCCTCCAGTCTTAATTTAAGTGTTGGTATCCTTACAAATATGTATAATGAATACGTAAGTGATTCTGTCTGTCTGTATGTTTCCATTTTCTATTCTTAAACCAGTAAACAGACTACGATTTGAATTTGTGAAAACTTTAAGTAATAAAGATTGTATTAAAGTTTAATTCCTCAAGTTAGTTTAAAAACTACTCAGGATTTTGGTAACTCTTAGGTTTTTGCAAAATCATATCTCAAGACGCTAACTCCCAAATAGGTATGGGGTTCCAAAATTCCCGTGTTTTTCCAGTATTCGACCATTCCTTATGGTAAAACATTCATCACGGACGAAACCAGGGTAACTGCTTGTATACTATACAATAATAAACCTGGCCTCGAACCCTGCACCCGATATGATCCGTATTTGCGAATATCACGATCAGACGCCAATCGCTGTCACGACGTTCTACAGCAAAGGTATTCTCGACAGCACGTCAGACTGTACATTTTTGTTGAAAAATCGCTCTAATTACAACTTAATAAGATATCCTGTGCTTAGCTTGAAATGCCGTCAAACGTTGTTCTGAACTTTGCGGGCAGGCTATCCTGGAAGCCTGGAAGGGAAGAGATTTTGAGAGACTCGTTTTATTACACACTTTCCTCTTCCTAAGGTGAATATATTTTTGCAAACTTACAAAGTTCTAGTATAAGTTTAGATGTGAAAAGCCTAACATTTAATTTTCGCGTAAACTCATCAGTTTAGCTAATAGATAATGAGCAAAAACTCACACTTTTCAAGCAGTGATTACACATTATAGAGCGGCTGGCGCAGAGCTCCGATTAAACGCAAGATTCAACGAACCTGCTATACAATATTATCTACAACTTTTAACCTAAGTAAGTACCTACGAGGAAAAAGTACAAAAAATCTAGTACAAAGAATAGGAACCTATAGTTCCAAGTTCAAAGGTTTGCACTATTGCTACAGTGCTGCAGCCACGTGCCTGAAAATATAAGTAAATGTCACCCGATATAGAGTTTACGAACTTTGTAACTAAATAAGTTTAGTTTATTAAAACAAACGAAAAGGATTCCCATTAGAATACATAATAAACAAGTCCATTTATCACTTACTTTTAATGTTTATTAATTATCTAATGGAATCCGTTACTCAGAGAGCAAATCAATATAGTGCGGTGATTCCCAACGACTGACCTATCGGATGACGTTAGGAAAAGGCAATCAGCTCTCGGCTCCACCACAATTGGCTTTCAAGCAATAATCCCATTGAACTACTGCATCGAACCTGTACAGAAACCGCCTAGAGGCAAAGGTAAAAGCGACGAACAATACGGTGTGCACCTAAATGCTGTTTGGGTGTACTCTTTGTGGCTTCAGCCCAAACTTATTGCAAGATAATGCGTTGCATTTTGGTAGGAAGCTGTATTGTTTCGTAACCAAAGAGTGGTCTTTAGGTCTAATATATTGGAAACAAATTGCGCAAGCAAGATAGTGTAACTAGGCAAACTACTCGTACTGATAGGAGTATCCAAAGTTGCAAAAGTTCCTTACCCTACGCGTGACGCGACACGCAATTCTTCCCTTTGACTTTCCCACGCTGGTTTTTTCTTTTGTCAATAAATGAAATGCCTTGTTTAAACAAACTGTTTGACTAGCTAAAAGACTGACAAAGAAACCGGATACAAAAATCAATCTTTGACCAGAATTGAATAATTTTATTCGTTCCTTTTGTGGGGTCGTAAAATAAGGGCAAATTCAATTGTAACAGGATGTCCTGTGGGCTAAGGAAGTAACTTCTATCCCGGTTCGCTATAAGATTCTCGCAAATTTGCGTAATCAGGACATTTCCTGCTGTGAAAGAAAAACATAGAAGTCACTATGTGCTCTTGAGACAACGAAGATGATATTCTTTATAACGTTATCCTTTCGTAAAAGTCTGCCATGTATTAAAGGCAGCACTGTAGGTAAACTATGGTAACGATGCACAAAATGGACATTGTCTCGAAGCGCTGGTAGGGCAAAAAAAGAATGCAATGAGACATGTATAGGCTCCATAAGAGCATTTGACGATTTGTAAGTACTAATTTAATTAGTCTAAACTTAAACAAATAAAGATAATTTATGATTTTGATTTTGACGAAGCTTTTCAAATGTGAGAAAAAACTATTTGAGGATGAAATTATTATTTGCCCTTGCCCAAGTTACTACATAGTTAGTTTTTCATGAGTTTACCTCGAACTTTTTCTATGCTGTTATTTCTACTGTCTGCGTTAGATTGAAACTATTCGGTAATATGTAACTTCTTTGTATCGAATAAGAAAAATCTCTCTAAGGCTTTCTTTCTCAAATGGTTTTGTATTGAATATTCGATTTCTATAAGATTCGTTATTTATTTTCCATTTCAAGATGTTGAATAAGCTTAGGCTGTTTGAAAACTAACAATCTTTAGAAGATGAACTAAATGTATTTTTTTCATATAATAGTCTAAGTACCTACCTACATTATTATTAAGTAGTTTAACGCGCATTGAACTCTAGTTTAAAGTGGACTGGGAATATAATTTTAAATTGTAGTTCCAACCCGGTTAATACTGGGACGTGTAAAAGTGCTTCTTTAAAGCCTACTTACAGAAATAAATGAGTTTTATGAGTTTTTTTTATGAGTTTTAACCTCGTTTAATGTTTTATTTTTAAGGGAATTATAATGGACAGATACATTATTTTAGGTAGATTATGAAATTGTGAAGTATTTAGCTAAACGAAATACCTGAATCGGGAAGCATTTAATAAGTAGCGAGTGTATGAGACTAACTAACCTTTTTCCATGCAAATTGTGTTACTGTCGAGTCTCTTCGGGTCAATTTAATCTGGCGTTTCAATGAAAATTAAAAATGTAGGCTACATTTTGTTTTGTCTGATGGAAGGTAGTAAATAGGCAGTTACCTACAGGCGCTTTATAACGGTTTTATAGGTGTAAAAAATGAAATTCATCTACATAATTCAGCACTGGATGAGTATAGGTACATAAAGTATATCAGAGTACTTTGTCGAAGAGGTTTTTTAGAGACTTTTTAGGTAAAAATGATGGGTATTTTAGTATTTATGCATCTTCTACATGACTACACTTCTATGTTTAAGAGCTCTTAAGTTTGTTTCTTTTCGTACAAATTAACGCATTTTTTTTTTAAAGTTCCAACTTGTAACGACAGTGATCCCTGATTGGTTCAGAAAATATCTGTATGCTGAATCATAATAATTTATCATCTATTTATGATTTCTCAATTTATTTAAAAATTTTACGAGATTAAAGTTCAAACCCGAAAAGTTCAATAACTTCCATTCCATTGTTCCGTGAATATTCAGATTATTTAGTTATCGAAAGTAAAAGGCGATTCTTACCACGAAACCGCCTTGAGATTTAAAACCAATTTTAAGTCATTCAATAGTGTTGTAGTTTTGTTCAGCGACAATATTGTTATTGTTTGATTTTCTACCCTTCGTCCTCGTTTCTATTTTGTTCTATTGTATTTCTTCCAAAATCCTACGAAGATCTAAACTTTCTAAGCACATTAGCACAGGCAAAATGTATCTAGCTTGCAAGTTTCAAACAAATTGGGAACCATTTATGAGTGACACAGTGAATTGATGCAGAAAAACCCCAGTTGAAGTCCATGCTAAGGTTCCCAAACCAAACCTCCGGCTAAACCATTTGATTGAGGCAATATTAAATTAATACGAATCTTTTAGGAGAAAACTTTTTGCTTAGTCAATAAATCACAATTTGACTTCGAAATTCCGTTAAAAAAATTAGTGTCACAGTTCTGAGCTGTCAGATTTGGGCAATTTGTTATTTTATTGTAATGCAGCTTTGTTAATGTAAATTCTTCATAATTCATTTGTGATTCATATAAATCTTGTGAAAATGTTAATACCGACGTGTGTAATCAAATTCTTTGAATTAGTGAGTATATTCGTGTTACCCATTAATCATAAAATGAGTAAAATATGTGACTAGATAAGTATTTCCTGTTCATTATAGCAATGTTCTACTTTGGTAGATCTTTTGGGTTGTAGGGTAGTGTGGGAGTAAACCCTTAGTAAGGTAACTCCCACACGGCTGCCTTTCTTCACAATTGAATGAGTATTTCTAACTCATACTAATATACCAAGTTGACAGAGCCTGGTAGTCGATTCACTCCAAATCTTTAGCCTCTCCCTGGTCTTATAGAAGAGTTACCTGGTAATCCATTAACCTCAATTAAAAAGACACATCGGTGTTATTTTTGTTTAATGGTAGTTCCACTACAGTGATTACCTCAATGGTGAAACTTTTCTACTATACTAGGCCATTGAAGTAATATACATTATAACTCAATGCTATAGGCCACTGAATCCGATCTATATTTTGCTGGTCCTGTTTCAGATGCTGGCAGTGTCCTGCCTGGTTCTCCACCACTACAGCTATGACCTCACAGACGTGCCTACACTCATGCTTTGTTCCGGAACCTACATTGGCTACGTCGTCGTTTTATCTGGAGAAATCATAGGTAAGATAATTTTAAATAATATGTTAAATGAAGGTTTCAAGGTGGCTCAAGTGGTGGTTATAAAGGTTTAGGCACTTTAATCTACTTGACTTGACTGATGAGACTGCTTTCAATTCTACCAGCATCTAAGGAATAAAAAAATTTAATCAAATCTTCAAATGGAGGATTAACAAAATCGTGACTTACTTATCTAAATCGGAGTGCTTTGTCTGTTATTTTATTAGGATTTACATCGTTAAAACACTTTCCCGAGGGATGAGCACAACTCGAGTTTCCTTGTAATTGGGTTTGTAAAGACGAAATGCGTGAAATCGTTTGCATGTTTTAATCCCACACGTTTCGAAGGAATGTTTCTTAATTAAATTACAACTAGCTTTTGCCTGCGGCGTGGAATTTGGTTTACTAGGATGTTATCACGCTTCACTGAGAAAATATCTATTTACTTAAGGCAAGTTGGGCTGTGTTACTTATCTCCGTCGCATCACCTTTTAACCTTTTGCTAGCGAACACATGGTGGTCAGAGTTACTTTCAAGCTTAATGTAGGTAATGCACTTACAATGTTGGCATAGTTTATACCTTTCACATTATATTGCAACATGTTAAATACTATTTTCGCTTTTAATTTTTGCATTAAAGCCACTTATCAGTTTAGATGGAAGCCGCACTTATACAAATGGGTATTTTAAAGGACCTTCATAAATATTTTGATTGCGATGAAAAAATAATGCAGGAGTAGTCTTATTTGGTAAGTTAAAGTTTCTTATTCTAACCATATGAAACGATTTTAGGAGAGATGATATTCGCGCCCTTGGACCTGGTTCAAGACATGTACTTTGGGATCCTGGGCATCGGTCTCTTCACAGTTAGCGGGGGGCTGGTGCTCTCCTCAAGGGTCAAGCCGGCTGCTTACCCTCGGACTGGTGACCACACGGCAGCCATGATTGCTGGATCCTTGGCTATTACCAACGCCTTCATCATGCTGTTCGATTTGAGCCTGGCGTACCTGGATTCGGAGGAATTTGATGAGGAGAGTGTGTGATGTCAGGTTGGTGCATGATGGATTTTCAAGAATATCTTATGACAAATACCAACTTCATTGTGTCAATTTACGTTTCTACTCAAGATGTATAAGTGCGACTTCTTATGTAAATTGATATTTTGAAAAAATATTCTTCCTTGATCTTCTTAATGAACATCGTGGATTTCAGATATCTATTTGTTTTTACAGTTCCCAACTGTAACATAAATATAAGTAGCTTTGAAATTAGGGCCAGGATGTAGGTCACCTACAGCTCAAGCTTCTAATTCTCCTCAATTAGAGACGTACATGCTCCTGCAATGTAAGCTATACGGCCTGATGTTGATGATCTAGCATCAACCTTATCCAGGAGTCATGCTCTACAGTGCAGTGATGATGATGATAATGATGATGAGCTTATAATGAACCTTATTCCAGGCGAGGCGGTGTCAGCAGCAGCAGACGCGTACATAGACGCGTGGTGGTCTGCCTCCGGTGGGCTTCTTTTCGGCGCGTGCGGCGCGCTCACGCTCCGCTCCTGGAAAGATATCCCACACTGCCTGCGCCGGAACCACGCGCAAGCTACAGCTGTTTGCTCGCTGGCTACCGCTGCTTTACTCACCATAGATGCACTGCTTGCGGCTTGTTCTGCTCACAAGGATGACACCAGCACGAGGACTAAGCCTAAGAAACCGGTCACTACCTGCTCGTGATTTGCACATAAACTGTTCTAATGTTGTTCTAATTCAGTGACATTGAAATAAAAGTGACATATTTCATACATTGCCTTTTCATTTTAATGATAGAACACACTCTGAAACAAACTTGGCTTTCACTGGTTAGGTTTAGCAGTTATTCGTAGAGCACTGGAGTCGAGGGCGGCGCGCTCACGCTCCGCTCCTGGAAAGATATCCCACACTGCCTGCGCCGGAACCACGCGCAAGCTACAGCTGTTTGCTCGCTGGCCACCGCTGCTTTACTCACCATAGATGCACTGCTTGCGGCTTGTTCTGCTCACAAGGATGACACCAGCACGAGGACTAAGCCTAAGAAACCGGTCACTACGTGCTCGTGATTTGCACATAAGATGATAAGACTGTTTTAATGTTGTTCTAATTCAGTGACATTGACATAAGAAGTGACATGTTTCATACATTGCCTTTTCATTTTAATGATAGAACACACTCTGAAACAAACTTGGCTTTCACTGGTTAGGTTTTGGCGGTCAAACTGTAGATCCTAATAGCTACACAGAAGTTACAGCTGGGGGAACTAAGAGGAAGTACTTCTGTAACGTACCTACATTACTTTCAGGTTGAGTAGAGTCCTAATGATATAATTTCATAGTGCTGCTGGTAAGTAACTGGACATTGTAGTGCAGGTGTCAAAATAGTGAACAGGGCGGTAAACAATACAATCTGAATGAACAATTGATAGTAAATTACTGAAAACTTTCATTCTTGCGTGAAGATGTTTTAAATAAAGTCAAGCTGAATTACAAAATAGAAATGTTTAAATCGCACATGGCTAGTATCGTCTTGTTCTCACAAGACAAAATGTGTATGTATTGGAATTTGTTTAATAAAGTGTTTTAAACAGTCTAATCGGAAATGCTGCACTGCGGTTACAATTAAAATAAGCAATCGTTCAGCGCTCTGACATTGGCAATGAACATTTGGATTGGGAATACATCTCTTTTGGTGGTTTTTTAACATCTTAATTAATTTTTATAGGTTAAGGTTTATTTTCGCGTAGGGTAAACCACCCAATTATTTTAAAATAATTCCCTCATTAATAAGTACACTATTTTTTTGAGTTAGCTCTATCTCTCGGACTCCATTTGAATTTCGTGGCTCAATCGTGGGCAGGTTCTGTGCTGTGGAAAGCAACATGATCTCTATCAACGAGTTATCGAAGTTCCACTAGATGGCAGTGTTAACTCTACAATAAAGCTCTGGAAAGTTTCGGAGTCAGTACCTACCTATGATTGTTATCTTTCAGTGTAAAATGGTACTTTATCATTAAAATGTATTTAAATAGAGAGGAAAGACTAGTTTTCCGGAATGCTGAAATTCGTTCGTACTGAAAAAATATAAATTGTGTGGCTCAGTCGTCATCTTTCTTTAAAAAAATGATTTCTTAGGGCTTTTAATGTAGATTTGTAATAAATTGTTCCTTGAAAAGCCTTATGTCCTGAAGGTATTTGAAAATGTGTTATACACTAAATACAATTTTGACTGTTCTGTTATACCTATTTCTATTAGCTGCCCACCTCTTACCACTAGGTAAACTTAAAACGATTAGAATAGAGTCATCATTTCCGAGTGATAATTACCAGATAAACAAGCTGATTAAACTGTTGGAGGCTTTAATTGAACTGTGAAGGACACATTGTTTTAAGTGTTACGTAATCGGCACTTTAAGGAACTGTTGACACTTAGACACAATGTAAGGATTACAAGGTTTTTTGGGATCTGATGTCATTTTCGCAGTTAAAACAATTAAAATCTTAATAACGTCAATTTAAAAATTGTGATTTGATATTGGGAATAGTATGAAAGTAATAAAAATTCATTCATTTTCTGTAAAAAGACTTAGAGAGAGCTTTTACACGTTCCAGTTAGTACTTATTTAACCCTACCACTGCTTCGGGACAATAAATGGGTCAGTGATGGGAAGAAGCAGCGCAAGAATCCCAACCACCAAAAGCAGTCACCTATCATTCAGTATGACTGTGTACATCTCTGAGTTTGTGTCACAACTCACAAATAGATAACGAGTGCCCGTGCGTGTTAAACGAAAACTATAAAAATTTTATTAGTCAACTAGCCAGTATTAACAGGCGACCGCTAAGGATGCGTTATTTGTGAATGTGCAGTGAAGTCATACATTAGTCAGATCTTAGACGATATAGTACTTGCGATTTACATCGATATGATGCAAATATGCAATTTGAGACCTTACTGCCTGATGTTTAGAACAAAAATTGATATTTTTGTGACTCTACATGGTTTGCAAAATGTAGAGCGTTAGTGAAATAACAAGTGTGTTAATGTTATTTCAATGTTATTTGATGGCAATGAACTTGTGCGTGTTTACCAAATATTAGCGCTTTTGTTTAGTAACTTATGAATATTAATTATTTATCAGTTACTAAATTTTAAATAAACAACTTGAAAAAATCGAACTGCAAGGCAGGAACCGAACCCACGACCTTTCGCTTGCCGGGCGACTGCTCTTCCAAGTTTCTAATTGAACCTTGCATTGTTAACTGATTACGAATAGTCTCATTGTTAACAGGATCAATAGTAATTAATTAATATCAATAACAGTTTTAAGTTTTTCTGTCTACAGACTCTTGGTCTGTACTCTCGTAAAAATTTATTATTATGTATGTTACTTTCAGTTTTTAGTTTGTAATTATTAAACCTTGCATTATGAATACCAATAAGTCACACGGTGAATAGGATAGTTCTTGAATATTAAAAACGGGTTATTCACCAACTCGACACAAGTTAAGGGACACACGTGTGTCCAGTTGGTGAAACTCAAAATTAGTATATCTACACGTTATTAGTACAGTCGAGTTAATAAATATATTAGCAGTGCCAATGATTCAAAATATTGTAAGCGTTTTAACGATCACACATATAAACTCAAACATCAATAAAATGTAATCATATAAACTGTTCATCAACATGTTGCGGTAGTGCAATATTGACTGCGCTACTGCTCTACAATATTTTTAAACATTGGGCACTGCCAATATATTTATGAACTCGACTGTACGTATAACCCGTAGTTGGTTTCATTTTGTAAGGGAGGGGTTCCCAATAATTGTGCTCTTGTGTAGGTAAGTAATAGTCGTAAACCATCTAACGTTTGAAGAAACTGAGAAATAAAGTCAGTGATTCGCATTGTAAAAATAAACAGCCGATCAAAAACTTTTATCACGAAATTGTTATTTAAACTAGGTACTCAATTAAAAGTATTTTTGGCAATTGAATCATTTGCCACCCCATGTTCACATTTTTAGATAGACGACGGCAATTTAGAGCGTGACTAACACTAACTTTTCATAGAAGTGAGAAGTGAACATGCTTAAGGAGTTTGTTAGGAAGATCATAATATTCGATGTAAATTTTGCATGTTGGTGTAAAAGCAAACCCGCCCGAATCATCAAGTACAACCACAAAATTACGCTAAGTTAGATCATAGTCCTTGAATAGTACGCACTAGTTGTAAATGCAAACGCATGGCCACCGTGAGTATAATTTCATTCTCATTCAGCAGACAGGGAGGGTCGGCCGCGCAGTCTCACAGCACAGAAAACGTAATATTAAGAGTCGGCACTCTCTAACTTACAGTTTTCAAAGTTAGGTTAACGTTTTCCACCAACCTAATGAAGAAATTGAAGCGTACTAACATGACAGAAATATAGTGAGGTACCGTACCCACTTGAACATTAATCAGTACATCGAAGTTGATATTCATTTGAACATCAATCGATATTGATATGTTCGGTATCGATAAAAATTACACTATATCGTCAAAATGTTTGATAGACTCTGGTGATAAAAGCAGACAATTTAACTCAACAGCAACAAAATAAATGAATAACTCAGAAATAATATTTTATGTGATCTGAAATTTCTCTCCTGACGCTGTCAATGTATATTGCCTACTTTTTTTTAAATAAATCTTACTAATATTATAAAATTAAATGAGAAAGTTTGTATGGATGTCTGGAAGTTAACATGTTTGTTACTCTTTCACGCAAAAACTACTGAACGGATTTTGATGAAACTTTACAGTATGAGTGTTTAAACACAAAATAACATATTATAGGCATATAATATCCATGACAATTTGTGACAAACTAAATCCCACCAAAAACATTCTGTAAAAAAACTAGCCAAGTCTAGATGGAGCTGCTTGTTTATCTCTAAAAAGTAATGAAATCTAGACAAAGTCGTGCCAAGTCTATGGTTCTTTACTGTGATTTCTTTATTATTATAGTTAATGTTGTGTGACTTGGCCGTTAAAGGGTACAAAACCAGGTGCTCCATGACACCATTGCACCAATCTGTTGCCAGAACCGCTACCCATTGACGATGGAAAATTGCCACTTGGAAAACGTTGATTTAATAACCAGTGAATTGTAGGCTTAGTAATAAAGCTGCGTATTTCAATAATATTTATGCATGATTATTGATTATCTTAATAAAGATTGTTCAACGACCAAGTCACACAACATTAACTATAATAATAAAGAAATCGCAGTAAAGAACCATAGACTTGGCACGACTTTGTCTAGATTTCATTACTTTTTAGAGATAAACAAGCAGCTCCATCTAGACTTGGCTAGTTTTTTTACAGAATGTTTTTGGTGGGATTTCACTTCTTTTTGTAGAATGTGCCATAATTATTTAACGTCGTCGTCCTTTAATATTATCGACATTTTTTTTACGATATTAAACACATCGACCTTTAAAATGGACAACGAATCAGAATAATTGTTTTAATAATAACTTAACCTTAGCGAACCTCACGATATAACAAAGTAAACGAAACCAACCAAATTCAAATTACACAACATTCAACTAACTTAATCGACGGGGGGGGTCTAGAGAAGAAAAAAAATATGGACACCGCGGTGCAGAAAATCGACGCTCAAAGTGCTAGCGCCATCTAGCGGTGAGCGGTACAGGCGAACACCACGGTGCCGGTGTGGCGCTAGTAGTATTGGTTATGAATGTGGTGTTACTCCAGATCTTCGATTTTCCTAGTTTTTATAGTTTTCCCTTTATGTGGCCAATAAACCCTAACTCTGTACCAAATTTCAGCTCTCTGACTTTATGGGAAGTACTAGTTCTATTTTGATGATCATCAGTGAGTGAGTGAGTGTCATAAATGCGAATATTTGCTTTCGCTTAACTTCGGAACTAAATGACCTACAGACTTGAAATTTTGGATTTTAAGTATGTGATTATAGCTTACTAGATGACGAAAATTTCTGCGTTCTGGTCTTATCCAGAGGTTCTCAAATAGGGGCCTGAAAATGCGGCGAAATGGTTCCAGTAAATTCCAGTAAAGGATGGTACGGCAGTGTTTGCTTCGCGCTCGACTTGGCGGGGGCACTGCCGTGCCCCCAGATTTCACGCGAGTGGAGTCGCGGGCAAAAGCTAGTAAGAGGATATTGGTCAAGATTAGGTATTTAATGAAATTTAACTATTTTGGTAGGAAAAGGCACTTTTATTTCATCTTTCAGGCTGCAGATTGGGTCGATTTTTGGTCTTTTGGAGGCTGCAACCACAAAAACTTAAATCAGTAATTCATGGTTAAGAAATTAGAATACTGCAAATCGGACAGTAGTATTAGGTATAAGTCATTTTAGATCGCAATTCGACATAATAATTATAAATTATGTCAGGCTGAAACAATCTATCGGAAATATCGGTAAAAAATATCCATGGAGACTACTCAATTATGCCACACTTTCTTAATATTTTATTAAATGTGTATGTTCATTAACTATTTTAACCAAGTAGACACAGTATAATTTGCGTGCTACTAACATATTTTATGATGTAAACATTCCAATTTACAAACCTATTTATGCTCCAATCTGGCTGAAAATGTGGCAGCCATATTAGGTACATTTCCCTCACGCCACTGACTCTCACGCCCCAGATTTACACCTAATTGACATATTGCAAGGATACCAACTTAACAATAGTAAATTCGACGTATAATGCGACCAAATTATCTTATTTGGTACTTTTTATTTTTGTAGGATTGTATGTTTTGTTGCAATATTGGTAACAAACGTCAACCTAACTTATACGGAGTATAATTGTATGGAGTGGCGTCAGCCTGTCTTACTGTAAACGTCAGGTTACACGCACGTCGCAGCCCCTGAAAGTTGTAAACAAACAATTCTACGTTGGAATTTGAATCAAGAAAACCAAGATGTATATCAACAGAATGTCCATCGTCAAATTCCTTGAGCTGGTGAGTTTTTTTTTTCTTTAAAAACATTCTAACCGGCCAGGCCGGGTTTGGTATATTTTGTAGTAAAAGCCACTTTTATTACGTCTCGATCGGTCTGGACTTCTGGAAGGACCTTCTTTACTTTTCATACTTTTAACCGCCGCGCCCGTTACTTGTTTTGGAAACATTACGCAGTACCTATTTCAGCATTTTATGTGTGTTGTTTTAATTTATTTATTATCTATCGAATCTTTGATAAATAAAGGCATGTTTTTAAAAATACTAAGAGTGAAAATAGTAACGATTATTACTTCTACGACGTGTGAAAAACAATCAGAATTATCAGATTGCTCACAGACGGGTCCCGTACATAAAAAAAAATCGCAACAGCGTTCGTCTCGCTACAGCGTCATTCGAAACTACATAAGGGACCCCTCACAGACAGACAATATTTAATATTTTTATAGTGGAAACTGAATACGCTTGATCGATTCGCGCAACTGCGTATCGGTCTTTGTTTTATGTTGACCGATCTATGGTCTGTCGTTCATTATGGTTTCATGTTTTGTATAGTTATTTGAATGATTCGTATGATTTTCAAAATTCTTTTTCATGAATTTCTATAAAGTGAATATTATCAAATCAAGAGCATTTTTTTACACCAAAAATATTTATTTACTTAAAACTTTTATGCACATAAACCACGGTACATAAGGTGAACTTAATGCCATTCTGCATTCTCCTCCAGTTAACCTTAGGGCCAAACTGAGAAATATTAGTCATGACCGGAATTATTGATTGGCCCTATGTAAATATTTTTGTCATTGATTCACCCAAGAAGTATAACAACAACAACATTCGGTAAACGTTTCCTACCCATTTACGAGTAAGTGTTGTCAACATATGACGAATGCCGGTGGTGCATAATAGGGTCAACATGCCGTGATGTTTGTTGTTTCATTCAGTGTGTCATATGTATTTTTAGATCAATATTTTTTACGATATTTCCATGTTGATAATTACTTAGTCTAATCTCCAATGTTGTCATTAAATCAATATTCTTATTAGCAATTCTGTTAAAAAAAAAATCTGAGAAAAGTCGTCACAGAAAAAAAAAATTAAAGCATATCAGGTCATGAAATTTTAAAGTCACAAAATTAATGATAGCTTCTAAACTACGAAAAATCGTAGAACATACATGGGAGTGAAATCGACAGGTATGTTTCTCACTTGTCACACACCCTGTATATTTTAATATTGCCTACTCATAAAGAAAAATAGGTAATAATTATTTTTAAATTATTATTGAGTGATCTTTCATAAAAAGCTACTTATTTTATTACATAGATCATTTAAGTGCCACCAGTGGTCAAAATTGAATAAAATATTTTTGATTTTGACTATAATATTCTCGTCTCGCCAAAAATCAGTTCAGCTTCAGCCGGCCCTTCTAGAGGTCACGATTCAGTACAAGTGCACTGCCCTCCAGACGGGGTGATGCAATGTGGGTCCCCCAATGCCCGCTAGTCTCACCTGAAGGTTACCGTATTATAACCTCTGTATGCCTTCTAGACGATTGCGACGTATCTAGATCGCGGCTGCTTCTACTCCCTTAATAGCCAGTACAGTATGAACGATACGACGAATGTTTAGTGCATAGTACCTATACGGCAAAAAAAAATGTTAGAGCAGAATACAAACTTTATACTTTCTTAGGCCTTTGTTACAAATAGTATTCTTAGTATTGCTAATATCGCCAACTTTTAGCTTCGATTTTAAAAATAAAGCTCCTTAGGACACTCGTAATTTTGACAGAATTTATGGCAAAGAAACGAAGCTTTGAGGGAATTAAAACCTATAAAATAGAATGTCCTCAATTAATAAATAAATACAGAAATTGTAAAGTTGTCTGCAATGTCTAGTAAATTAATATTTATTTTATGCGTAATTGCGTATTATTTGGCGAGACGCAGATGACGTATTTAGTACAGTCAGTCCAAGTTCATTAGTCCCCTGCCATTATTTATTTTGCAATTAATGTTATTTACTATACAGGGTGACTTTAAGGATAAGGCCTATTTTCGGGCACTTTTATGTCTATTAAGCTTTACCTACAGTTTTAGCAGCAGTACGTATTTTTCTATGAACGAAGTAAATTAACCACATGAATTTTGAAACCGCGCGCAGCTGATAGAAATAATGAAAAATGAAAAAAAAAAGTTATTTTTACTTATATAGATTAAGTTACTGATTCTGGATCGCTCCTAAAAATTTGGATACTGATTGCAAAGTCACCATGTATAGTCCTTGTATCACAACTCAATGCTTAGTGAAACAGTAAATGATGCAGGCCGCTACCAATCGATCAACATGGAAAGCATTGGGGGAGATCTATGTTCAGCAGTGGACGTCCTATGGCTGAAATGATGATGATGAATGTTAGATTTTAAACTTTCGCGTTCCATTTCAACTAACTAAGGTCTGCTTGTGACCACGGCTGCAGCATAGCAGCCGAAACGTCAAGCCGTGAGTACATAATGTAATTCATTGATAAACGTCGCGTTATGACCCGTGTCTAACTATGTTATGATGAATGTTGTTAAGTCGTGACATTTCCTTCACTTTCAGGCGCTGACATGCACCTGCGTGGGGCTCCACTACCAGAGCTACAACGTCGAACCCGAAATCGGTATGCTGGTCACCGGCACCTTCGTCGGCTTCCTCATCATCTTATCTGGGGTTGCCTCAGGTAATATTCCATGTTACTATACTCGGCGCAAAGATTCGTGGCAGGCGGAGCCATAAATATTTTTTTAAACAGAGATGCACACTCGCATCTATTTTTTTCAAGTCCTGTGTAGCCTCTACGATAGGATCTACAGCTTGACCGTCAATAATAATAATTCAACCAGTGAGGGTCAAGTTTATTCCAAAGTTTAGTCAACAGCACGTCAGACGATTGTTGCAAAATTGCATCGCTGTGTTGTCTTCTGTGCCAGGGTTGGCAAAAAGATTTTAGTCGCAAATTATTAAAAATTAATGATTAAAATCATAACCAAATTTTTTTTGCAATGCAATTCAATTGAAGTGGGGGTTGCAAAACTATGAGGTTTTGCATGTTGGGGAGGTGCAAGAGGCTTCGCACCAGAAGTTTCACGAGGGGGGCTAATTGGGGAGGGGCAATTCAGTTGAAGTTGGGGTTGCAAAACTAGGAGGTTTTGCATGTAGCGGAGGTGCAGGAGACTTCGTACCACAAGTTTCAGGAGGGGGGAGGCTAGGGGGGGGGGAGCATTCAATTGAAGTGGAGGTAAACTAGGAGGTTTTGCATGTTGGAGAGGTGCAGAAGACTTCGTACCACAAGTTAAGGGGGGGAGGGAGGGAGACTAGGGGGGTAATTAATTTAAGTGTGGGTTGCAAAACTAGGAGGTTTTGTTTGTTGGGGAGGTGCAGGAGACTTCGTGCCAGAAGTTGCAGGAGGGGGGCTAGGGGGGAGGGGCAATTCAATGTATGTTCAAAAAATTTTATCAAAATACAGCATGCATAACCAAGAACGTCACCGAATAACCAGATAACCCAAATTCTTTCAAAACCTTTTATTATTTACTTACTCCAAATATTTTCAATTCCAGGTTACTTGATGCAGTCGCCCACCCACAAAAGGTTGGACATGTTCTATTCGCTGGTCGGCGTGTGCCTGTTCCTCGCGAGCGGTGGCGTCGTCATCGACAAGTAATCATAATTATTTATTTATTGCTTCATTTGATTATTTTCCTAAGCATTAACTTTATATGAAAAGTTCATACGTAGTTAAGTAGCAAATAAGCACGCTCACTATAATTCTTAGCAAATACAAATAGTTAGTAATGTCCTCAAAATGAGCACACTGGTGAACATCTGAACAAATGAAATTAAACAATAATAATTTACGTACAGTTCACGAGACTGTACCTATTTTGCTAGCAACACTAACACAGATAGATAGGTATTCAATATTAAACTATTTACAATAATGAAATTTATAGAATGTAGGATCAAACCCCCATTAAATTAAGTACTTACCCACTGCATTAACGTATAATGCAAAGATGCAACCTCTTAAAACACACTTCAGTCTATACCAGTAAATCGAGTTAGTTATTTAGATCTTTGCTAGTAGTAGCTTTAAAATCAATAAACAGTTTGTCAATTGATTTGGTTTCGATGTATATTCTCAAGAAATACAAAATATCTTATCTGTTTTTTGGTATCCAATTCCATGGAATGTTATTTCATTTTACAAATTAAGCAAATCATGATTTGCTTAATTTGTAAAATGAAATGATAATTTTATCATTATTACTTCTTTGCTTCAGATACCAAGATCAATCTAAATCGGAGATCGGAAAATACAACCTAGCCAAGGGTTCCTTGGCCATCATCAACGCGGCGGTCCTGCTCATTGACTCCGTGTTGACGCAACGTGGTGAATAAGGAGTCAATATACCCTCCGGGTTCGAACCTCTTCAGAACCAAAGCATAAAGTTTTTTTACTATTAAGCTGTAATTATGCTTTAGAATGTAGCGTATAGTTCTTGCAACTCACGAAGGCGAGTGAGCTTTGGTGTGTATACCAGAGGGCCTAGTGTGAGTTTACATCAAACGCGCTCACTAGTGAGCGCGTCAAAAAATGACATTAAATGTATGACAGATTGTACAGCGCCCCTAGCGGGAAACGTTCAACAACTAAAATTTTCATACATTTTTTAACTAGCACGAGACTGTGTCTATCAAAACTTTTGAAAAACGAACAGAAGCGAGCTACCACAATGTAAAACTCACTCGCCTTCGTGAATTGCAACAACTATAATTAGAATTTCTCTATGGCTGATGAGGAAGGTGGAGACGTACACACGCCTGTGACGTGTATTGAAGTTGCATTCCCTAAGACCAGTTTCACTAATGTCTGATTAAGTTTGGGGTATTCAACGCTATGGTAAAGCTGTACACACACTGACAAACAGACTGATGAGTTGAACTGACGGACATCCAAAAAGTGACCATGTGTGTGTGAAATCTTAAGAAAAGAAATCAATTGTAAACTGTCAGTGTTTTGGAAGTAAGTATGTCAGTTCAACTGATCATTTTACATGACCGTGAAAGTCCAGCTTAAGGGTGACTTGATCCCTACTTTAGCATAACCAAAATTGTCGTTTAACTATCAGATAAGTTCCCAGGCTATCAGGGGCGGTGAAACAGGTTCATAGTATTTTATCCCTATCCTATCCTTTTATACTTTACCTACCTAAAATACTATACATTGCCTGAAAGCTTGTGAAGCTGTTATTTTGTAAATGATATTATTCCACTAATTAATGCGAAAAGTTTAATGTGATGGGAATTATTTTTCGACTTGCTTCAATCTATTTTTATACTCATAAGCTCATATTATTAGGTAAGCTAATAACTTTCTTAGATTTAGATAAAACGTTGTAGTATGTTTTATTATTTAAATTAGTGTTAAGTTTTTTTTATAAATGACTTTAATGTTATTGTCTGTCTCAAAACAAGGAATAAACTACCTCTATTTAATGTCTCTGTCACTTGTTCTGATTATTTCTTCCTAAACCCTAACATGTTATGCTATGTTGTCATCATCCATCATCCTTTCAGCCATAGGACGTCCACTGCTGAACATAGGCCTCCCTCAATGATTTTCAAATGCAACGCAAGTTATATAAATTTTCTATTATTATACACCATGGACAATTGGACATTAGCAAAAATAAAAATATGTGTAAAATGAAATTAAAAAAAAACTGGCCCATTACCAGACTCTCCCTTATCAGGCGGCCACTAAGGATGCGTAATTTATGACTTTGAAGTGAAGTCATAATAATATTAGTCAGAATTTAGATGCTATAGGACTTACGAATTACATCGATAAGATGCAAATATGCAATTTGTAACCTTACTGCCTGATGTTTAGAACAAAAATGCATATTTTTGTGACTCTACTCGTATTACATTACTACTATTGCAAAATGTAGAGCGTTAGTGAAATTATAACAAGTATGTTAATGTTATCTCAATGTCATTTGTTGTCAATGAACTTGTGCATGTTTACCATATATTTATGTTTAGTAATTTATTAATACTATTAATTATTTAGTTTTAAGTAGGTAAACCTTGCCGTGCCGTGTGTTGACGGCAGAGTAGAATACATTTGTCACCAACCCCTACTCTTCCCGCGGGTGTCGTAAGAGGCGACTTAGGGTCCACACATCAAACAGAGAACGGGCAGCAGCGCTCTCTGAAAAACATCAATCTTTTAAACTGCGATCTCCAACCCGCCTGCCAAGCGTGGGGATTATGGCAAAACCCTCCACTATAGTGGAGGAGGCTCATAGTCCAGCAGTGGACTGTAAAGGGCTGTCGATGATTGATGATGATTGAGGTAAACCTTGCATTGTTGAGTTAACTGAAATACAACTACACGTTATTAGTGTAACGCGTAGTTCTCTCATTTTGTAAGGGAGGGGTTCTCAATAACTATGCCCTTGTGAGATTTATAGATAGTAATGGTCGTAAAGCACTATCAGTTTGGAGTTTAGGCGGTCAAACATTTAATAAATGATGATATCGCGTGTCGTCATGGAACTATTTATAAATCTGTCGTAATGGAATGAGAAAATCAGTATTAATTGGAATTTGCTCCATATCTTAGTGTAGTGTAAGATAGAAAGATATCAAGACTGCACAAAAATCTGGTGAAATGAAAATAAACGAAATATGCCGTAAACAGGCAGCAACAGCTAAACCATCTAGGCTATACTACTATAGAATGTCGTTGTTTTGTGATAAAATATGAGTGCAATTTAGAGTAAAATTGCAATAAGAAAATTTATAAATAAGCGAATTTGTACTCTAAAGTTTGAGCAAACTGCGGAATGAAGTTGGTGATTTGCATCGCCAAAGTAAACATTCGACCATCCGATTGACTTTTATTACGAAATTGTTATTCATCCTGCTAGAACATAGTTGTTAAAAGTATTTTTGGCACAAATAATTTGATACCCCATGTAAGACACATTTTTAGATAGTCGAGAGCAATTAAAAGCATGACTAACACTAACTTTTATAGAAGTGAACATGCTTAAGGAGTTAGTTAGGAAGGTCTTATTCAATTTTGCGTATTAGTGTAAAGGCAAACCCATCCGGATCATCAAGAACAACCACATTACGCTAAGTTAGATCATAGTCCTTGAATAGTACGCAATAATTGTACGCACTCTGTCAAACGCATGGCCACCGTGAGTATGATCTCATTCTTCGTCATTCAACTGGGAGGGTCGGCCGCGCAGTCTCACAGTGAACTTCGGGTTACACGCACGTCGCAGCCCCCGTCCGTTGTAAACAAACAATTCTTCGTTTGAATTTGAATTAAGAACGCCAAGATGAATATCAACAGAATGTCCATCATCAAATTCTTGGAGCTGGTGAGTTTTTTCTTCTTTTTTTTCAACATTCTAACCGGCCTGTCCTAATTTGGAAGGGTTGGGTTTGTTTGCCTTGGGCTTTAACGGGTTTTGGTATATATTGTAGCGAAAGCCGACTGGCATTACTCGTACATCGGTCTAGGGACCTTTACTTTCGATACTTTAACCGCCCGTACTTGTTTTGTAAACTTTACGACGTGATTACAGTTAGTAGATATCAGTATAATTTAACAAGTTATGTGTATTGTTTTATTTTATACATTATTATTAATGAAATCAATAATATAAATGTACTGAAAATAGTAATAATTTATTAGTTCTACGACGTGTGAAAGACAGATCTATCATAGCAAAGACATACCTGAATATTTGGAAAGCTGAAACGTTTGATCGATTCGCGCAACTGCGTATCGGTTTTTGTTTTAATGGTGTCCACTCTATGGTCTGTATGATATGGCTTTATGTTTTGTATAGTTTTGTGAATGATTGTGTATGATTTACAAAATTATTCTTGTTGAATTTCCATAAACTGAAAATATTAGTCATGATTGGAATTATTGATTTGCTAATGTGATCCTCCTACGTAAATAATTTGTTATTGTTTCACGGCAGAAGCGTCAACGTCATACAATTTTTGTACCTAAACAACAACCAGCATTCGGTAAAAAGTTTAAGCCGGTACGAGTACATACCTAAGTTTGTTGTTTCTACTGACTGACGCTCTACTGTCTGAGAAACTATGTATTTCTAAATAAACTGCACATTTACAAGTTATTTTTCGCTTATTTTATCAGGTTTAATACAAACAAAAGCATTTCTCGAACCATCTCCACTGAAAGAATCCAGTTGTGAGTGTTTACGCGTACGCACGCGATCGTACGAGTAGAACATAGAGGTCAATGACTCTTGCTTTCATTCAGGAGTTTGTTTACAATGTTAGATGTTATATTAACTGAGATTTACTGGTGCATTCGTTATGGTTTATGTCTTGTTGTTGAATATAACTCTAGATTTGACTGGTAAGACAAATGATTTTTATTTAAAAGTTGATGAGATAGGTAGTGGGTTTTTCAGATTATTCTGTTCTAATTAGAAAGAAAAAAAATCTTAGTATCATAGCCTAGAAAACTTTCTTATTTACACCAACTACTTATTACTGTGGTAAAACGTTACTTAGCAATACAACAAATGGTTAGTTTCTTCCTTTTAATATTCAAGTCACCTTTTGACTCTTCCTTTCTGCCTAATAAGTAGTAGGATACGAGTACAATAGTAGGTACATTCGAGTACATTAGTGGGTACCTACTTCCTACTTCCTATATCTACCATTTGTCTACATAGCCTGATGAAAGTAGAGTTTTTGTGGATAAAGAAAATACTGAATATCAAAAATGGCAACTTTTTGAAGTGTTTGTAAATCGTTTCAGGGTCATCTTTTTTTACCAACATTTTAGGAGGATAAGTATGACTGAAGTCATAAAATGATATCATAGATGCCATTAATTTCCGCGTGAAGTTGACTAAGAATTCGTAATGTACACTAACAAACAGCATAACATATAATTTCCTGGCAAAATGACTCTTATTTCATTTGAAATAAAGCGGTCTTGCGGTCATCATACGACTGTACCAGTGTGTATAATCGGGTCAACAATACCGCGAGTTGTTGATTCATTCAGATCATTGTGTCATGTATATTTTTAGATCGATGTTTTTTTGCGATATTTACATAACCTGATAATTACATTAATTAAGTACAAGCTGTCATTAAATTAACATTGTCGTGGAACAGTTTTATTGACATCTACACGGATTTTTTCTTTATGATAACTAGGTAGGTAGGTACATATCCTTTCAAGCACCAGCGATTCCAGATACAATAGAAATCAAGTTTCCACAAGATAATATATTACTATAATACATTATAGTAAGCAGAAATTCATTCTCCTCCAGTTAACCATAGGTAACTGGAGAAGAATGCCATATGGCATTAAGTTTGCCTAATGTACCCTGCTAAAAGTACATTCATTAATGAACAATTCTTTTCATACTTCTATTTAGAATTTTCTTATTCAACTGCCACAATAACTCGCGGTCTGGTTGCACACAAACATAGTTAAACTGGAAATCGTAAATTCTTTCGCGAGTGTTTACTCGTATCACGCTTCCTTACATCACCGTCGTTAAATCTATTCTGGCCGCGCGTTGTCGTCCACTGGCCTTCTTTTGGTTAGTCAACCAGCATTTATTAATTCCTCAAACGGTGAATTTGTAAATAAAGAAGATGCCCAAAATAGCCTGTCCTTCCACGATGCAGTGGCTGTTATGAGACTGAATCAAAGAAGACCATTCGAGCGGTTAGGAATCTGATGGCAGGTGCATTGTGTGCACCTGTTGCTTAAGGAATTTTGGGTTCGATGATTTTTTTCTGTTGAACTAAGGTTAAAATGACAAGAGCTTGAATCGGATCATCAGGTGTCGTGAATCGTAGACACTCTTAAATTTCCTACAGAACTAAAATGATTTACTTGGCTACTTGAGGTACGTAAACAGGTGCAGGTAACCTTAATGTCACGTAGATGATAATAACTCAATAAGTAAATTATTGGTATTATTCTTTACCTTATCTAAAATATTTTGTTTTCGGCACAAGGTTGCCTTGGACGGATTATTATAGATTAAGCATTTATAAATAATCCTATTTTTAATGGTTTAAATATCTACACACTGTTAAACCAGATAGCAGACGGTTATTGTCCCTACACAATACGAGTACGTTTTGAAATTGATTGTATCTTTTTTAAAAATAGAAATAACACGTGATTATTCAGTGCATTTAATGAATGTGTTGCGATTTGCGATAAGTTATGTACGGCTGTATCCTGGCTATTTATAAATATGAAAGTTTGTATGAATGCTTTTTGATATCATCAAGTAAATATAGCAAGCACACCGACGTCCTGATAGCTATGCCCTTGATAAAATTCAGCTTACTTCCTTATTATCCTGATAGGATACATAGTTATTTCCGTATCAGACACGTTATGTTAACGTCTTTTATCTCGGACAAAATGAATTTTCCAGTAGAATCGCAACCGTGAACACAAGGCGGTATTGAATGAAAGACATATTTTCTTCTTTCTCACTCTATGTAGAGTTAGATAGAAACCAATATGTAGGCATATGTTTTAAAAATATATTGGTATTTAATTTTGATAAAGGAAGAATTTACTCTTATCTCAAAATAAGTAGTTAACCTTATTTTGGCTTAAGTTAATTGGAAAATAAGTGACTTCTAATGATTCTTGGATTACATTCTACCTACCTAGAATGTTTATCCAAGAAGAACAGATTTTTTAATTGAAATTAAAGGCAAAGAGGGTGAAAAAGCTGGTAAAATGGATTGACCTCAAGTTAACGTTTGAACCAATTTAGATGGTTCTAAAACCATTATAGTGATTTATAACTTACTCAAACTTTAAAGTTAACCGTAGAACTCGTAAAAAGTTGCGTTACTTCTTCTGAAAGTCTTTGTAGTTAGGTACGTGTACCAATACAAGAAACCACCTACCACCCTTTGAAAATCTAGCAATTACCCGACTCAAGCATCAACTACGTAGGGATTCAATAGAAATAATCGTAAAACAAACAACAATGAAGGCACAAGTATCCACAGGGAATCGACTAATTGAATTATCACTTGAGTATTGTTGTTAAAACAATGGGCTCTATTGTGCAGGTTCAAATCTCTGCGGTTTCGAACAACGCTGTTCATATTCGATGAACTAATAATGTTAATTGATTGACTTTCCTATCCTTTGTTCCTTAGCTAGGAAATTAATGTTAATAAAACACCCACAGTAATATTACTAGGCATAAATACTCGGTCGTCACTAGGGCATGTAATATCGGAAGGTTTTCAATTCCGATATTGGATTCCGATATTAGATCTCAATATCGGAATTCCGATATTAATATCGGAATTGAGTTCATGTGCTATAAAATTAATATTTGTTTATATTCGTAAGAATTCTGGATTGTTTACAATAAAATAATGATTTTAATCAAAATCTTTAATTTGGTACAAAACAGCACTTCATAAAATTGAAGTATTTTAAAACCATTTTTACGTTATGGGCATGTATGACAAGAGGCAAACGAGCAGACGGATCACCTGATAATGAATGGTCACTGATAATGAGCCTATATGGACTAGCACATAATTAAAGTGTTTTGTAAAATCACAGGTATCAAACAAAATTTTACTCCTTCATTATATTACCCTGTTTTATGTTGGCGGAACGAATTTTAGAGTCATTCAAATCACGTGTTACAAAAATTGTAGAGCGGTAAAAAACTTGAATATGCTTGTAATTTGTTCCTTTTTGATTATCGATGTACAACTCACAAAACCACGAGCCAGCCATATGTCAGCCATAGGACGTCCACTGCTGAACACAGGCTCCGATGCTGATTTTCACAATGGCCGGTTGGTGGCGGCCTGCATCCAGCGCCTTCCTGCTACCTTTATGAGGTCGTCGGTTCAACGTGGCCTCCACTTCAGAACCTTGCTGCCTCATCGTCCGTCTGTTTTGCGTACTAAGGCAGAACCGTTAGAAGACCTTATCACAATGCTCAAAGACCTTAATCTTGTCGCGACAAGGAAAAAATTCCGTGCTTTTAAGCGGTTTTGTGAAAAATATAGTAAGTAGGTAGTTGCTAATTGCTCATAAGATAGGCCCCCTTAATTGATATTTATTGTCCGTGGTGCATAATCTTTTCTTAAAGGTTTTAAACCTTTGTTTGTCACCTGTCATCCGCTTTGCAATGGAGGGAAGTCGAACCTTAATTTCGAACTCCTCCTATGTTCTTCTGATTAATTTCGTTGCGGGTCCAATGACAGTTTAACTTTCCCCCGGGACAAACTTGACCTTCATTGGTTGGGTTTTTGTGGCGGTCAAGCTGTAGATCCTGGCTACACAGGAGTTGCAGTGCTGGGAACGGGAGGTGGGAATAGTTCCGTAAGACCTTAATCGAGTTTCCCAACAGGTAGGCGTAGCTTATGTCGAATGTCCATGTTGCTCCTTACCCAGTTTCGGCTGAGCTGAAGTGGCAATGGCAGGACCCAGAATACGCAGAACTGACGGTCCACAGTCCAGTAAAATTAATGTTTGAAAGGAAGTTGAGATGTCGTTCTTTGTTGACCAAGCACCTATGGCAAATGCTTAAATTGATTTAGAACAAGTTAAATTAACCATAAATAGTAAAGATATTAAAATATTTGCAGTGGAACAAAAAGTGATGGTGAGAGACATGAGAAAATCATTGGTATTTTCCTATCATGTACTTTGGGCTTTGTGGCAGGTTGTGGCGAGTTTAAACGCTTTGTTTAAAATCTCAATTAAAACTTTTATCTGATTCCGATATTACGATATTGGGTCGCTCAATATCGGAATTGAAATATCGGATCTCGCAGTCCGAGATTCCGATATTACGAGATTCCGAGATTCCGATATTCATGCCCTAGTCGCCCCCCTTGCGGCGCATGCAATAGCTTTATGTAGACCTGTAGGCCTAAGATGCGCGCCGTGATAACTTTTATCGACGTCAAAATGTATGGGCAAAATCGATAAAATGGCGTGATAACCGTTTATCGCGGCGCGCATCTTAGGCCTACTGTCAACAAACAGTTAAGTAAGAGCTAATTCTCCACAGAACACTTAACTTTTGATATGTATTCCCTAATCATGAAGAATTAGGTGAAAGTCTCAGTTTTATTTTTAAACTTGTCCGATATCCTTTTTTTTTATCCACAACGAGGACTCTTGGTCTGAAAATATCCGCGGTGAAACATGCGGGAGGTATCTCAATAGTTGGTACCACTTATGTCGTCTCGCCACAAAACAGTTCTGCTTCAGCTGATCCACCTTCAAAAGGTCATGATTCAGTGCAAATGCACTGCCGACTCACGTCGCCCTTCAGACGGGGTGGTACAATGCAGGCCCCTAATCTCACCTACAGTTTAGGAAAGGTTACCGTATAACCTCTACCTGCCATCTAGAATTCTAGACGATTGCGACTTATCTAGATCGTGGGAACTTCTACTCCCTAACTTGGATCAATACCCATAGTCATAGTAGTTAGTCATATTTTGGTTCATAAGTCAATACTACTTACTTAAGAGCCCTGATAATAGCCTACTCGTGGTACTTATATCAAGGTATCAAGAAAAACTACTACTGCACATTAAATAAATAACGTAGAATGTTTAGTCCTAACGACTAAAAAAATTTTATTGTTCTGTAGCGCGAATTACTAACCTTTTTTATACTTTACTACATTTCTTTGCTATAAACCTCACGGAGCCCGAGACCTTTCCAACGAATGCAAAACCGTGGAAATCGGTTCGTGCGTTCTGGAGTTATAGCGTCAGGGAGGAAAACCCGACTTATTTTTATATAGTAGACTATACGTACGTCCTTTGTTGCAAATGGCATCCTTAGTAATATTGATATTTCAAAGTTTCTAAGTAAGTAAGTAGCTAGGAAGGTACACTTTTAGCTTCGATTCTAGCAATAGCAATAAAGCTAAATTTATGGCAAAGAAACGAAGCTTCGAGGAAATTAAAACCCAAAATAGCATGTCCTCAATTTATTTAATTAAAGCCACGCGTTTGCCCTTAGCGCTTATCTAATCGGTCAACTACTCCCTACAAAATGTGTACTACTTACTAATTTATATGTTGGCCCTGTGATTCATATAGTATGAACATTGAGTAGGTACTTCATGGTAATAATATTAACTCATGAATATTAATCATTTTCGTAAACACTTTTTATGGTGTGATTGTGTGAGGATATGCCATCTAAGTACTTGGGTACCTAGTTGTTGACAATTTGCATATATTAAATAGCTTTATATCTTTTTATTTGCCTAGGTAATCTACAGTATCATCTTCTCGAAAAGGTTTTCTCGTTAGGTATGAAACGAAATATTAAAGAAAAGGTAGACAACTTTCAAATAAGTATGCATGAAAAGCCAACCGTTCCAAGTTGACTTTTTTGATCTCTGTTTAGGCTTGTTGAAACATTTTTCATTTTAATCCTAAACTGTTGTTTATTCTATAGTGCCTAACGTGCTTTCGCCTGTAACTGCTACAGAGGAAGTGTCTAAACATTCCAAGGTAAAAAAAATCGCTATAAATTCACATTAGATCCAAACCTACAACCACGCCTCTCACGATTAAGCAAGGCAACTTCAATTGGCCCCAATCGGTGTTACCATCTTCAAGGCTCGGCCTCGCTGTGCTCTATACGGAGGTGGTTATAGCATCCATGACATCACCTTCCCGGCAAACGGGTCTCGCCAATGCTAAGGGTGACGTCAGCGGTGATCCGATGTGGGGACAGTACGTACAAGTAAACATAGTAAAAGATGACTAGTTTTGTGGAAGAATGTTTGTTCTACGAAACGTATTTCGGTGGATATCATGAAGCTTGCGTATGGTCAATGGAATTATCCTGTTTGTTTTATTTATAACTATTATCTGACTGATAAAAATGATTCAAAACGTTATAAAAAGAAACGCTACATTTATCAGCGTTCAAGTCTTAGTCAAGTAGATTCCAATAAAGAATGATGAATGAAATGAATATGTGATACGTATCCAAATTCAATGTTGTTGTTGTTGAATAATTTGAAGTCTTCACGGCTGCATTGTCTGAATTTGCCACTTTTTGCTACGTCGAAGGTCAAATAAACTCAATTAGGCCAGTTTTGCTCTACTGCATGTCTTGTTATAGAGTTCGGCTAATTTTAGTTTTTCTTGTTCCATCAGTAATAAAGGGACTAAAAAACGGGACTTATCCCACCACACTTTCCCACCACTGCAACTTCTGTATAGCCAGGATTTACAGCTTGGCCTCCAATGAAACTCAGCCTTGAAACCCGCAACGAATTTAACTAGAATAATATAGGAGGAATTCAAAATATACGATAATATCGACTTCCCTCCGTTGCAAAGCAGAAGGCAGACAGAGGGACCATAATGTTAGTTACACAAAAAGTTCAATGTTGTTAAATTAGTATATTTCCTTTACTTCCAGGCTCTGACATGCACCTGCGTGGGGCTCCACTACCAGAGCTACAACGCCGACCCCGACATCGGCATGCTAGTCACCGGCACCTTCGTCGGCTTCCTCATCATCTTCGCTGGGGCTGCCGCAGGTAATAATCCAAGTACATTCGTACATTTTTGTTTGTAACTATTTTCACCAACCTCTCTACCACCTCTCTGTCCCACTGCTGCAACTCCGGTGTAGTCAGGAGTAGGTCCTGACAGCTTCACCACCAATAAAAACCCAAACAGCTGTGATTTTGTATGTATTTCTTGTAACAGCAACAATCTTTCATGAGATAGATCGTATCTTCTGTTGAACAGTATAAACCATCCACTAATCAAAATTTTGTTTTTGATTTTGTAATTTTTTAATTTACCTTTCAAAAAGTAACATCTTTAGCTCCATGTGGACATAATTGGAAACATTAAAGCATGGTCAAAAGTTGTATCAGAAGAGGGTATTCAACAAATCATGTAATGCCAAGAAACTTCCGCAAATAATAACTTAATATCCCGAATTGTCACAAAAACTTGTACTTACCCCAAATATTTTCAATTCCAGGGTACGTGCTGCAGTCTCCATCCCACAAGAGGGTTGATATCTTCTATTCTCTGGTCGGCGTGTGCTTGTTCGTCGCGAGCGGTGCCGTCATCATCGACAGGTAATAATGATCAATTATTTATTTACTGCTTCATTTGATAATGAGGTCTTAAGCATGAACTACATATGAAAGTTCATAGTAAAGTAGGAAATGAGTACCTACGGTCAAGCTAAAAATCTCAAAATGAGGTGGTCACACAGGTGAACAGCTGGGCAAATAAAACTAGCCAAGTTATTTTACGTACCTGCATGTCTATAAGTATCTAGCACGAGATTTTTATTTTGCTAGCAACGCTAAAACAGATGTTCAAGATTCAAACTACAAAAACAAAATTCATAGAATGTAATACCTACATACTTCAAATCCCAAAAAACTCAGAAATGAAATTGGGTAGGTAGGTACGTAGTTACAGCATTATCCAAAATTTCAAGGATACCTCTTAAAAACACACACTTATATCTACTTAAACTAAGTATCGAGCTAGTTTTAAATTTTACATAGAATTAGATTTTAGTGACTTTAAAATAATAGTATAGTTTCGCAATTGAGTTGGTTTCCATAGCTTTCACAAAAACTATAATACGGGCCTTTTCAAGGCGACAGTGAATAGGCACTTACAGGGTAGATTATGTACCATCCTAGACTGCATCCCACTTAACAGTCAAGTTAACACCAGGTGCGATTGAGGTCAAATAGGTTTGACCTATGCATAAAAAAACTTCGGTTGCATAGTTTTCATTTGTTGCATGATATCCACGTTTTGCTTAATTTGGGGCTAGATGGCTCAGAGTATCTTGTATATCAACCATATTTACAATGGTGTCTTCTTCGTTTCAGATACCAACATCAATCGAGGTCGGAGATCGTGAGATACAACATAGCCAAGGGTTCCCTGGCCATCATCAATGGGGCGATTCTCCTGGTTGACGCCGTGTTGACGCACCGGGGTGAATAAGAAGATACATAGCCTACGGGTTCGAACCTCTTCAGAACCAAAGTCTTAAGTTTTACTATTTATTGCGCGAAGCCTGTGACCTGTATCGAAGTTGCATTCCTTAGGACCAGTTTCACTAATGCCTGATTAAGTTTGGGATAGTTATCTGACACATAACGCTATGGTAAAGCAGGACACATATTGTCCGTTAAAATTCATTATAAACTCGTTTTTTGGATGTAGTTAAGTCAGTTCAACTGATCAGTTTACCTGGCTGTAAGGGGTGACTTTATTTGTCAGATATTTCGATCCCACCCGTTTAAACAAATGTTGTAGTTTATCTGCCAGATAAGTATCGAGGCTATCAGGGTCGGTGAAACAGGTTCTTAGAGTTTTATCATGCTGTAGATGTGCTTTTAAACCTTGATCTGGAATTGAACAAAGTACCTAACTGCGGTGAATATTTGATATTTAGCTGTATACAGTAGGTAAATGGGTACTAATTTTATTTATTTCACACTGCCGTCCAAGTTTTGTGAGTGAACGAATACAATTTTAACATTATGTAACTTCAGTACAGGAGTCGTAGAACCAATAGAGATATAAAATAGTTACAAAAGTGCCTGAAAGCTTGTGAAGCTGTAATTTGTAAATGATATAATTGTACCTACCACAGAATGCCTTATGGTGTCTATATGAACTACTTATACGAAAAGTTTAATGGGATGGGAGTCATTATACTATTTCCATATTTTTCGACGCACTTCAATCTATTTTTCATACGTATTTACAAAAAAAAATAAACTTTTTGATAATACATATTTATATTATGAACATAAGCTTATAATTGTCTTACACAAAACGTTGTCAGTATGTTTTTAATATTAATGTTAGTGTTAAGTTTTTTTTATAAATAACTTTAATGTTATTGTCTGTCTCAAAACAAGGAATAAACTTTAACTCTATTTTAATGTCTTTGTCACTTGTTCTGTTTCATTTATCCCTAACATAAAAAAAACTGTCGTGTTGTACTTTTATTATGTTTTAGAGAAGTTTTGTAGGCGGTCCGAGCACGACGAAGATAGTCACACCCAAAATTAGAAACAATCATCACCACATGTGTTGTTTTCGATTAGGTATGTCGATATGTCGAAATGAAATGACTGAATATGAAAATGTGAGAAACTGCGAGATCAGGCTATTATAGTATTCTGGACTTTTAGAAGCAGAATTTAAACCTTCATCAGGACACCTACTATGTTGTTGTTATTCAGGAAGAAAAAATGTTTTTACTTACATTAATAATCAAGGACCTCCTTGAAAAGGAATCAATAAATCGACAGTCCTATAATAACTTTGCAGTGAAATTTTTCATTTAAGTATCAATGTATCAATGTCTCTCACTTTTGAGAGGCTTGTCCTCCTAGGATACGAAATGAATGAATGATGATAAATACGCATATGAAGTGGTGGGAAATAATCTCGATGAATTTATAGTTAGAGCATCCAGCTTGCAAATTGGCAGGAAACTACTTTCATTGCGGTGCATTTCCCTTATCATACTAAGGGTATTGATACTTACTAGTATCTTGTTTATATGTATAGTGTTAGTTTACTCATAACAACGTGAATGAAAAATGCAAATTAATGTAAATCGCAAAAAGGTTTCCACTTCACATTTTTATCCTCAAAACAGTCCAACAACCAATGATGCATTGTTTTCATTCAAACGTAACTGGTCAGGTAAATTAGTCAGTTCGAGATTTATTTGGATGTCGACACAGCCAAGCTAATGCTTCCAAAATAGCTTATATTAGGATTGAGTAGACGAGGACGGGCGCGACACGGGCAATCAGCGTGATGTGTTGGCCGAGCCGCCCAGATTGCAGCTGATTAATTATTCTATAGATAGGAAATAGAACGAATGGATTAACTGCTCAGTTGATTTGATTTGCCAAAATATTTTGGGGGTATAGAACTTGGACTGTACGTTTTGAGGGTTAAAACGGAACGCATATATCAGCTCTCAAAAAGGCTTTCTTGAAAATCATACATTGATCTCATTGATTTTAAGTTAGTATACCTCAGTCAGATTGACTCTATGATTACCTTTTTTCAACCGATACTGAGATTTGTTTACGTACATTACCGGTTTCGTTTCTTTACAAAAATAAATGACCCAATGTTTTAGCAGTTACATTGTTTGTATCTTTTTGAAAAAGCTTAAGATACTCGTACATTTTTAAAGGCGTGCATATTTTTTCCTATTACAAAATCCCGTGTTGCCATTTCACTTTTCAGCGATTTCAATTATAAATGAGCTGACATACGGGAAGCGATACACTAGAATGGAAAGAATACCTACTACACGTTTAAGCCAAAATGACAAAAACGAGAATAGTAAATGAGCATGGAGCAAAACTGCTGGTTTGGGAACAGTTGCTGAACAATAATTATAATAGAGCGGTTTCACTTTAATCAATCTATTTTAATGAAGGAGTTCAATTTGAATTTGAAGCTTCTATAAAACTAAAGATTGTGAATCCTTCGTCACTCATACACTGCTTATATTAATATGAACACATATTTGACTCTAATTCGTAACGAAATGTATCAATGACGAGGTCGTCATGTGTGCATGAGTGGCAGGTGCCACTGGACTACAAACACCAGAAGTTTACAGGTTCAGATCTCACTAGAGGTAAGTGATATTTACTACGTTATACTTAGACTACGAATGTATTACATTACACATATAGGTATTCGTTAATTATAATAGCACGTTGATCTAAAACTTGTGATTTCAGATAAGCACACATTAATTACCTACTTTCAAATGCAACAAAATGCAAAACTTCATGCCATTTCACGCAATTTCTCTTTAACTGACTTTAACCAACTGTACATTTTAATAAACTAATTTCGCTACGAGATAATTATCATCGAAGATATTCTGGGAACTTAAATTATGCACCGTGTAAGTTAGGACGATCAAATACAGGGTGTGTTTGGCTTTCATTGGCAAATGGAGTTGGATTCGCTGTTTGCCGATACCTGCCACGGTGTACAATATCATTGTCAGATGGCCGATACGGTGTTTGATCGGGGAATGTTTTGGCTCTAAGGTATATTATGTGGGAATATTGAATGATCTCTCCCAATATGTTAGATACATCTTGAGAAGTATTAAGTACCTACATAGACTTAGAGAATGCATTTTTAAGTTATCTTTTTCAGGTAGATGTTTATGGGACGTAGCTTTTTGTGGGACAAATGGTTTCTTGGTTGTTTCTAGTATAATCAAAAGCTTATTTTATTTATTAAGTTTCTTAAGCGTTATTTGACAATTAAAAGGTTTTTTTGTAACAAAACTGCGTGATTTATTTTAAAACATATAAATTTTAGATTTTTTTAAATTAGGATGACGAAAGCACACCTGTAATTATTGGTACCTAACTTACGACAATAAATGAGTTTAGGATGTACCTAGGTATGATAACGCTAAAATAATGTAAGTATGGTTTGCTCGCTCAGATACCATAATTCTTGATGTCAATCGTGTCGTTGCATGAGATTGTTGAGATAACTTGACCGAGAAATAGTATGTAAATGTATTTCGGTTTTGTGTACGATTTATATGCGACGGCATGTATTATCCTTTCTCGGGAGTTCAATTGGTCCAATACTTTGTATGTACGATTCGATTGAGATATGGAATCAGTATACCATTTTGTCCAAATCTTTGATACTGATTCAAAACAAAGAATAACATAATAATAATTAGCAAGCTGATGAAACTATAGGTTTAAATGAATATGTTTAGGGACAACGCAAATGGCTATTTTCCATACCATACAAATAACCATAAATTGTAAAAGGCATAGCTTTCCAGGTTCAATTTGGTGCAGCCATGAATATAAATAACCATGAATATAAATAGAAATTACGTATTTATTGCTGATCTAACCGACCAGATCGGCAGTATTTAGTATCTTCCAGAGCGTTGCATATTTCAACATCCTTATTCAGGGTTAACTTTGATAAGGAGGTAACCTTCCAATATCTGATCCCTTTGCATTTAACCCTAAAATAATATAGTGGCTTGATGTGCGTTCTGTAACAATGGATGAAATATAATTTTCATTGATCGGCGGACGCACATTTCCATGCAAATGAATTTTGTAGCGGTGCGTCGTATCTCAGGCCTCATCTTTAATAACCATAAATCAACAAATCGAACCGTTCAATTATTTATGGCCTAGAAAAAACCACAATGTCATTTCAATTTTGGAATTGGAAAATGTATGCTTTCGTATTTGGAGTCGGACGTAGGTAGGAATACGATTTTCAGGATTACTCGCAATAATGTAAAAATCCCTATGGTTGTTGTATATCAGCTTGGCATCGTGGATTTCATACGCTGCTGCCGGTTGTCTTTTTGAAGGCGTCGGTCCATCGAACAGAGACACGACTTATAGTTAAGTAGGTACGACTAGGCCGTTTGCCGAAAAGCTGAATCCAGTAGAAGACTTCTCCATATTATTTAAATATCGATTTTGTCTCAGATGTTGGTTGATGCTCATATGACTCTTGTAGACCGCTTGACTTCTTCTTCTTAGTCAGACACTCTTGTCAGAGTGGTCGTGGTTGCGTTGACACATTGCGCTGTAGGGTGATGTCATCCTAAAAAGGATATATGACGCTATTTGGATCAAATATGTAATTGCTCAATAATGAATAATAAATAAATAAAATAAATAAAAATAAATCTCCGAGGGTAGCTTCTATTTCTGACGGTTAGGCGTCGCGAGTACACTGGACCATGGTGGACTGCAATACAGTGATAGTTAAGTACCTATTGCATTGTCTAGACGCACAGGTCGTATGTAAAGTTGCAGCAAAGTCCGGCCAGATTGCAAACTATGCATCGGTTGTCCATACAACGCGGGCCACTGATTTATGTCGAGCGGCCGGTCGCAGGCGCCGGCCATTGTGCCGGGATTTATCGCCGCCGGAACAATTCACTCGGCCAGCAGGACATTGTGCTCATCGCCTGTTCCAATGAGCCGATCACAAATTACCCAATAACAACATCGCGGTGTTAGCTAACGCGACGTATTCTGCATAATGGGTTTGACAATACGCTATCGCCTGCTACCGGATAATGCGGAGCATCTGATCTGATAATGTAAAGAAATTAGAACATTTCAGTTCTAGTTATAATTTTAGTACTAAGATTATTTTATTTAGATAAATCAAGTAATAAATTGTGAACATTCCAAAAAGTTACACCATTTCAACAAAAAAATAATTTGTTTTTCTTTTTGCATTATATTTTTCAGGCTTTTGAGTTTAGGTACAGTTTAGCTTTTAAAAAATACAACCCATTTTACGTGCTCGGGCCTCGGGCTTATTTCAGGCATGTCCCGTAATGTAATAGTAACAAAGATCTTTTTATGATTTACATATCGAGAAGCATCTGCATAGTCCAGTAGCCTCTTACCTATGCAAACTATGCATCAACAATATTTATGTAGGTAATACCTAACGGCTGGTCGCAAGTGCCTATTGTCCTGGGATTTATCGTCACGGGAACAATTCACTCGGCCCAGGACATCATGCTTATCGCCTTTATCGATGAAACAAAACAAAACGGTGGCTAAATAAGTAAACAAAAAAAAATCTATGGTGTTAAAAGCTATGGTGTTGTAAAGTAGCTAACTTTACTTGGTAAAGTAAATAAATGCAGGGAGTAACTTTTCAGTAGGTATACTTGTAGATCAACGATGCGCTAAGGGCAAAAAAGGGCCAGTCACACCACGACACCAGCTGACTCTATAGTTGACCACCTTTGTTTCTGTGCACAATTCACTCACCACGCATTGTGCTCATCCCCAATGAGCGATCGCAAATCACGACGATATATCA